AAGCGAAAGGAAGATATGCAAAAATGAGGGCCAAGACGCAGCGGCTGAGGCTATGTCAAAGCGGACAGCGGCGTCGCCGTCACTTTAAACTCTTCGATTCAGATTCGGGGGTTTAGGGGTGCAACCGAAAGATGGTAAAGCGAAGCAGAGATAAAGAAAATGGCGATGGAGGTTTTAAGGGGGTTTTGTAGGACTAAATAGCCTGACCTAATATTGACGATCTTGAGGTTTATAAAGGATCTTACGGCAGCTGTTGGCATTGTGTTTTTAATAATGGGATTAAGGCCCATTAAAAAATATAATGGGCTTCGTGGGAGTTGTTTTTGTTTAGATTGAGGTTAATTTTGAGAAAATTACCCCCCTTACTCATCCTCTACTATATATTATTAAAAGTACGAATTCTTTAACTTACATTTAATATTACAATTTTTTTAATAAAATAATAAAAGTTATCCTTTAGCATAATTGTAGGAATTATCCCTTTCTCTCTCTCACTCTCTTCTCGTTAATCTCTCTCCCCTTATCTCTTTCTTTTTTTCGTTCTTTAATCTCTTTCCCTCATCTCTTTCTTCTTTTTTTTTTCTTTTCCTCACGCTGGAAATTTGAGAGTTTTCATTGTCCCTTTAAATCGCCCAAAATCCCAGACCTTAAATCGCCGAATAATCTAGGTCTCTCATCAAATCGAGAGCCATCGATCTTTCTCTGTCGGTGATTTCCATGAGCAGAAGCGGCAATTTCTTTTTCCTTTTCGTGATTTGCAGTATCCGCTCGAGATTAATTCTTGCAGCATAGTCGCCGACTTCTCCGCCATTAGTAGCAGCAGGTTCGAGTTTCAGATTCCTCGCATAGCCGTGAGTGACCCATCGCCAGCGCCGAGAAGCCATGGAGATCGGGCCCATTCACTCGGCCCAAATCCTCACCACCTTCACCTCCTCCATCTTGGCCCCTCGACCCTCGAACATCAGCGACCTCCTCGATCAATGACCTCCCGTTGGTTTCTGTTCACAACCCTTGCCGGCGAAGTAGAGAGTAGCCGGCGACCTTCTTACAGCATCAGCCCTCGTCGGTCGCTTCAGCGTGAAGAGCAGCGACCTTTTTCCTTTTTCCGATGGGTCTCGCCATCTATTTTGAGCAGCCATTTCCCGACAGGTTCGTTTCCGAGCAGCAACAACACGGGGCCGCCATTTTCTTTTCAACGAACATCAGCCATTCGCGGGGCCCGTGCGAGAAGAGTAACGATCGTTTTGTTGGGCAAGTTCGCCGAGAGCTCTATTCGAGAGTAGCAACCTCTGTCAGTCATTTAGAAGAATTGTGCATCTATGTATAATTCCACTTCACAAATGTTTATATATTGTTTATCTTATGTATAACTATACGGTTAATATTAGGGAACTGTCATATCATGTTTATCTAATGTATATATGCAGTATATCTGAACATGTACTTGGAGTCATTGTTATTTATTTTATGTATAACTATACAGTTAATTTACATATTGTTTACATGTTTAAATATTAGAGTACTGTCTGATCATGTTTATATATTGTGTATATACTGTATATCTAAACATATATTTGGCGGTTGGACGATTTTTTTCGAAAAATAAAGATGTCGATTAATTGTTGAAATTTTGAAATCAGATTTTTTATTTTTTTTTTCAAATTTTATTTTTGCTTGCGATTATTTAGCCCTAAATTAATACATGTTTAATATGGAGATAAAAAATTATGAATCAGTGAGAAATCTCATATCCCAAAATTAATGCAAGTTTAATATGGAGAGAGAGAAAATTATGAGCCGATGGGAAATCTCATATCCCTAAATTAATGCATGTTTAATATGGAGAGAGAGATAAAATTATGAGAAGAATCGTAGATATGAAAAAAAGATTACATGAAAATGTCAATGTGATGAAAGTTTGTATTGAACGTACATATGTAAATATTTATTATAGAAGGCCTATGTATGTAAATTTCCCGTTAATTTTTGTAACTTTAGGCTTTGTATTTCAGGCGATAAAATTCACTAGGCTTCATAAAAAGATGTACTCTAAAGTTTTGAGTGAGGAAAAATCATACACAAAAGGTTGTATTTCTAATCGAAGTTTTTCGCGAAAACGGCTCAATTGACTCATAAATGCTTAAATTCGGCTAATTCATTCACTTAAAGGAATCTTGCTGGAACAACTAACTGTCTAGTTTATTAAACGAGCTTAGTCAAACTCATTTGTAAACAATTATACTTTTTTTATAAGACTCTCTTATAAGTAATTTCAGTCGAGCAGATGACTTGAGCAAGCTTGCGAAGATCTCATTTATAATTTTGGGTTTGTTAGTTGAAGTGAGTTAAATCGAGTCGAACTTTCACAAACATAAATAAATCAAGTTGGAACAAGCTCGAACACGAAGTTGTAGAGACTCGAATAACACACATTACGAAGCTTATCTAATAATTAGGATTCCCTCTAAACCTATAGTTAATATGTGATTCAAATTTGTACTTTGCCAAAAGAATGGTCATTTTATGCATGCCTGATTCACGAGTCAAAAAAAGGGAACATGATATGATTATTATCATTGAAAACATTGGATTTGCATTCGGAAGATGGTCAGTGAGTTGAGGAGCACCACATATTGAAAAGACTTAAGGATTATTTACATATGTAACATGTAGAATTCTCCTAGCCATTATGAAACACCAATTAATGATTCAGGGTTAGGTTCTTGTTGACAAATGTGAACCATATTCTAATTATACATTATGATAATGATGGTTTTGTACTATATATCTTTAATATTGACTAGACGGATAGACTCATCATATTCAATTATTAAAAATGTATATCTCATGTTAATAAATGTCATACTTGTATTTATATTATTATTATTATTTAAAATATAGTATTTGTTTAATAAAATTATACTTGCATAATTTATTAAATTTCAAGTCTAAGTCATAGAGATAACGTTCGAATTATTATTTCGAAAACGTAAAAAAAATCTTAGTCTAAGTCTCAATAAATTATTTTTATCGAGTATTAGAAAAATGGGAATTTATTAAATTCCCTAATAAGCCCAATTATTCGAGCCATTTTAATTCGGCCCATTATAATCGAGATAATTTAATTTGAACTATCGTATTATTTTCTCGGCCACATAGTATTATAATTATCGAGTCAAGTCATATATTTCGAGGCTAAGTCGTATATTATTTTAGCACAAGTCAAAATTCAATGTTACAACCCAATTTTGGGCAAAAAAAATGTGACAAAACCCTAATTTTCCAACTCACTATAAATACACCATACATTTTCACATCTCTTCTCGTTGGAATGTGATAATTCTCGCAGCAAGAAAACTCCCAGCTCAAAATCTTGTCCCAACCATAACCTCTCATTATTAAAATAAAAAAAAAAAGAAAAAGAAAGAGGAAAAAGATCGGAAAAAACGGAGTAGCAAACTCCATCTCCATGCCACCGCGCCACTTCGGTCCCAGCTCACCCGCAGCCTCGTTTTCCGGCGACCAAGCCACCACAGCCAGCTTCCACCGGCGACCAAAGCTCAGCCCGAGCTCACACCAGCATAACCCGCGGGTCCGGTTCCTTCACGCCACCCGCAGCAGCAGACCCGCAGCCACGAACCGCCACCAACAGCCGCCGCCTCCACGCCTCTCTCACGCCGTCGCAGCTGTTTTTCCAGCGAGCTCTCACGACGCCGACGAGCCCATCTCTTGCAGTCGTCATTCACGGTGAGTCCCCGCCGGTAGCTTCGCACCGAAGCCGACCACGAGCCCAACCGAAGCACCACCTTCGTTTTCCCGGCGAACCATCTCCGGTGAGTCGACCACAGGTTAGTCCTGAGCACGTCACGTCCGTCCACCTCGGTTTTCCAGCAAGATCCGCACCGGAAGGGTCGAACCAACACACGAGCTAGCCCTAGCTCGCGCCCAACACTCGGTTCAGATCCGAGCCCAGTACTTGGAAAACTGACCCATCAGCAGCAGATCCGTTGAAGTTCAGCCCAGATCCGAGCAAGATCCGTGAAGTTCAGCCCAGATCCGAGCAAGATCCGATCGATCTATAGCCGATCTATTTTCCTAAGCTCTTCGCTTTTTTCGAATTTCGATTCGAACCCTTCAAAGGTACTTTAGCTTAAACTCCGACTCCATGTGCTTATTTGAGTAATTAGATGAATTTTAAAATTATCGGGAGGTGATTTCAAGTATTATGTGAATTATGGTAAATTTATCGGCTTAAATAGCATTAAATTCGTTAAATATTGTGTGTTTAGCATGATAAATTCCGTATAGCTGACTTGAGACCTAGGTTTTAATTTCGTGATTTTTGGTTCCGTTTATTTTGTTAACCGGATTTTTGAATATGTAGCCAAAATGTCCGTGGAAAAATTTATATATTAAAGATAATAAAAATACATGTGGACATAAAAAAAAATAAAAAAAAGGATGTAGAACAAAATAAAAAACACGTATTAAGAGAATATGTGTCCCTTACAAATTTAATTGTAAAACGTATTCTCATAATACGTTTTTCAAATATTTTTACAATGTAAAACGTATTTTGAGAATATCTTTTACAAGAAATACGTGTTTTTTATTTTTTTCCACTTGCATTTGTTTGTGTTTCTTTTGTTCTAGCACTTTTCAGGTAAAAATATGCTAAAGACCTCGAAATGCGATAAAATTTTGTTAAAGATCTTATAAATTCTGAGTATGTTGTGGTTAAAATTTCATAATTTTTGGAGATTGTTTGATATGCCTAAAAATTTGAGACTTTAGCTGCTTTTATTGCAAAATACTAAATATTATTCGGTTGAGAATTTAGCTGCAGTTATTTGGCCTAAAATCACTAGAAATTATGTTGAACTTAGGGTTTGAGTTTTGACTTGAACCGAGTTAGGTAGTCAGTTGAATAGCGAAC